AATTTTTAATATTGAGATCCCAGCCTGGCCTACTAGGTGTGAGAAATAATGATATTGTCCATGTTCGTGCCCTCAGGTATTAGAACCTATAAAACAAAACATCTTTCCATTATTTGTTAATCCCATCAAGATTTCTATGAATCCTAACCCATTACCTGACTCGGTGTCCAAAGAAAACAGAGTAAAGCATGGAAGCAAAAGTGTATATGTTTTACAATACTATCAGTTATATAATCGTGTGATATTTTTCTCTCACTGGGTCCAACCTTCATTCACTTCAGATAGTCAACTCTTACAATTAATTTCTCTGCACCTTCTTCTCAAGTTTCATCCCTATCTTCCTCCCAAATTCATCTTTCTTTGTCTCTATAAATCCCTTAATCTTCTTAGTGTACCATACCAGGAGTATGTGTCTTGTGGGAGTTCAGTTTCCAGTATTTGAAGATGTTTCTATGGGACAAGGGGGAAATTATGGGTTTGAAAAGATTTGTAATTTTTTCTTATTTGAATGGTTGGTTTTAAAGAAAGGCTAGGTTTGACTTTACAGTCAGCTCCTCCTTGCAGTTCCCCTGTTTTGAGTTCTCCCCCAAACTGGAGAAAAAGTAAGGTTTCTAACCAAAGGATTGTCCAGCATTTTTTTTAATAAGAAAGTCATCATAGGGTACCCAATTTTAGCTGAAGCTTTAATGTGGGTGGATGGCAGGATTATGAAGCCTGGAAAGAACAACTTTAGAAATGGGTCCATTACAGTGCCAGCCTTCCCGGGACCGAGCGAAGTAGAAAAACAACTACCTGTGTTTTTTATTGTACAGGTTCTCCCTGAGTTGTGTAATTTCCCTGACCCACGCGGCCCCATTCGGAACCATGCTGTCTCCCCTTCCCGATCGCAGAGTCCACCTCTGCATAAGCAGGATAGGCTGTCTCACCCACCTCTCCTCAGTCCCTGGTTTTGTCACTGGAACACGGTCCTCCTGTATTCTCCATTGGTCAGTAGAGCCCTCAAGCCACTACCTTTTCCCTGGACCTTGACCCAGTCACGTTCCTTCTTCTTACCCTCCCCTCGAGCCCATATAAGCCACGGGAGTTTCAAAATAAAGGCCTTTTCACCTTGGAACTCAGAGCGGAAACTTGGTCGCTCTCTCCCTGCCAAAAAGGGGACTGCACGACTGAGTTCTTCTCTGGGAAACCTCTAGCAGAGAGTCCACAATCAAGATCCGTTACTTTAAAACAATATTTAATTGCATAAAAATCAATGAAGGTATAAGTAATTGAAACAAGTTGTGATAATGGTAAATATTGCAGAATTGTCACCCTAGACCACCTGGCCTATCCACAGCACAGCACTCCCTAATGAAAGGGACCTGGGTACTCTCCCTGGCCATCAGAATTGTTTGGATCAGCAAATGTTCCACTATTGTAGGCAGTTTATTTTTAATGTTTTCCCAGTTGAGACTTCTACTACTTTCCTGGAGAGAGTATGCTTTAGTCTTAGGAATCATAAATATTGGAGCTGAAGTTTGCGCAGATACTTCTTCAAGGCCATATATCCAGACCATATATCAAAGTCTTTTTTTGTCTTACATGCACTTGAGTTACATGTTGTTCTTGTGTTATTCTCAAGGTATACTGACTATCTGAATGTGCTGGAATTTTATGCTGTTCTTACCTCACCTCGTTATGACATTCACATTCTTTCAAGTCCTCCTTTAAAAAGAATTTTGTTCACCTGTCTTCAGCTCAAGACTCTTTCCACCATGCGATGGGTGGGCAGGCATGTTTCAGGCACTTACGTGTGCGTGTGACCCTTGATGCTCGAGGAGGAATCACACTCAGGGTAAAATGACTGACAGGCTCTCCTGCTTCTTGTCTTTTATGAATTTAGGGCAATGGTATTTGCTGTAGACCATACCCCAGATCTGCTTCTTACTTTACTCTGGAGCCATTAGAAAGGTGGTAGATGCTAAGAGATGCCATAAGTTCAAAAGCAAATTGATCCCAAGGTAAAAGCCACCTAAGTCTGCTATATACACTGGCTAGTGGACAACTACTGGCCTAGAGAGTCCTGAAACAAACGCTTGGCTTGATATTGTAAATGCAAGAAAAAGCTCTATGCTACAAAAACTTTTATTTTTTTATTATTCTTTAAAGATTACTTTCAAATTTTCCACTCATTAATATCTTTTGCTAATAAGTTGTTTTGCGAGATGTATAACTGCTAAATAATTCTTTACTTATTCTGTACCTGTCTTCACCAGTCCTTTGCTGAGCTGTAGTTAAAGGCACTACTCTTCTGTTTACTATCACAAACATAAGTTATTTTGAAATAATTATACTCTGCTCTTGAGGGAGAAAAGCCTCATAGCACGTTTTTTCATGTCTTTGATCACATCAGATTTTGATGTGGCTCATTGCTTTATGACATATTTTCCCTTGCTCTTCTTTGTCCCTCACTGCTATCTTGCAGCTTTTGCAGTCAATCCTAGCTACTCTTTCATTCACTTCAGGCAGTTTTTTGTTCTAGTTGTTCATAATTTTAATATTTTCAGTAACTAGCCCATAGGCTTCTTTACCATGTCTGCTCAGTCAGTATTTTTCTTTAGCATTAGCAAGTTCTGTGTCCGTATTGAACACCTTTCTAGCTCATTGGTATATTAGGTGGACAACATTAGTTTAGCTGGTTACACTTGTGACACAAAATCACAATTCAGACAAAAGCCTTGCTTATTGTAATAAACACTTACGTATTTCCTTCAAAAATTGTCATTGTTGATTTTTTTTTTCTGTCATCACATTTTTTTGCATGTAGTGCAGTTTTAGTAAATTTAGGATTTTGATTCAGGTCTAAATTAAAAGATCCTGCTAAACTAGCTTGAATTTCTCCATTAAAAATAGCAAGATGTGTCCTTAAGGTAAAGACAATATTTTCTTACATTTTTAAACATCTCTCTAATTATTTGAAGGCAGATTGTCTCTAGCTTTTTAAAATTTGATGTACCAAGAGAAGATCAGTGTATCTATATTCATATAACTCAAAAATTCTATCTATCCTTTTTTCTCATCCATCTGCCCCAGAATTCTCTATGCTACTGCAGAGTTGTTACACTTAAAATCTTGCTTATGGGCATAAGCAGTAAGCACACCTTTTATGTATGTAGAGCTAAAAATTATTAGCATTACTAAAAGTGAAGCACTCTAACCATTATTAGTCCAGATCTCATTGTTTAAAAAAAAAAAAATAATGCAGTTAAAATGTTTGTATAAATACCTGCTAGTGCCTACTCCTTCCTTCCAGTGTTAGGCTGATGTCTCCACTGCTCCTCTGGGTGCTGAGCTTGGGGTTTCACATTGGTGGCAGTGGTGAAGTGTCAGTGAATTGTCAGCCTCTGGAGTCTTTCAGTGTGAGGAATGTGATATTTGTGGCAAACCTTACTCTAGGATCAATTTGGGTAATTTCTATGTGTCTGCCAACACCCTTTTGCACCTTTGCTCTGTCTTCATTGTTCTGTAGTTTCATATTGCACCCAATTTACTATACATGGTGGTTTTTATGTATATTAGATACTATTTCTTTGTTATCTCTAAAACCAGTTCTGTCCAGCTCCAGATCTATAACCATCATGTTAATCATAAGCATGACTCTGCAAAGAATAACTGCTTGTTACTGCTACCTGTGTAAAACTATGATTTTACTATACAAAGAAAAACAAAACAACTTAAATGTATACACCTGGTGCCCTTCCTGCTATTCCAACTTGATTTCCTTTGGTGATGCTCTTAGCAACTAGTTCAGCTGGGTTAAAAGCCTTCCAGAAGATGAGAGACTGAAACATGGACATAGATATATTGTATCTGACAGTCAAATATGTACAATACTGACACAAACTAAAATGGGGAAAGATTCTCCTTCCCACCCCCTCCCCTAAATAAATAAATAAATAAATAAATAAGGAAAAGCCTGTGGAAATATGAAGACATGCACAATGGATTGTGCAAGTCCTCTGCAGACAAACTGGGAGCACAATGAATTTCCTTGTCCTTAGGGGATTGTATACTAAATGGAAGATCTGGAAGGTTTTTCGAAAAGCAATTTGCACACAGTGGTCTGGAGGATTCTTTAAAATAATATTTTTTCCCCTCTTTAAAAGAAATTTAATGGTTTTTACTTTTATTTAATTGTCCTGTGATTCTACTGTTAGAAACCCAACAATCCTAATCCTGTTGCATTTATGATTCTTCTTGTATACATAGTTCAATACAATTATGTAGAGATAGCTCAGGATGTTTTGCATGCTAATTGACAACTGCTGAAGTAGAACTTAAAAGTTTGAAACAATTTAAATCAAGTAATAATAAATGTTATTATCACATATATTATTTTCTTATAATATCCATAGTGTAATTATAGGTATATAAAGCCTTAAATAATAGCAGAAAGCTTTATGGCTTATTGTTAAACATAAAGACAATTTTTAATATGTCATGGTAAGGCATTTTGATGAGACCTACGAAGTATTCTGGAGAAACATACTGTATTGCCATTTCACTGATCTAAGGTGGCAGATGGAAGTCTTGTCATCTGCAGTACCACCTCATTTCAAAGAGAATATATTAACAGATATGGAGTATGGCAATTTTTAATGTAAATAATGCTTTCCCTTTCTGAAAGAGCCCATTTACTGTTTTGAGGCCATTAGACTTCTGTCCTGGCTTCTTCACCACTGCAATTCTGCAATAGGATTTGAGAGTCAGTTTGAGACTGACAATTAACTTCTTGCTTGTGTTGCAAAGCTTCCTTTTATACTCCTGTAAAACTGAACAAATGACTGCCACTAATGTTATGCTCATCAACTAGTAAGTGGAGGCCATTTAAGGCAGAAATGTCGGATTTAGCTCCAGCTGCTGTTCTAATGTTGCAGAAAGCTTTTGCTGCAGTTCATTAAATTCAACTTCAGGCAGTCACAAAACTGCCAGCTAATTATTTTTTTCTTTCCTCGGCTAAGTGAAACCTGGTGTCACCAATTTCCACTCACAAAATGGAGCTACAGAATCCTGCATTCTGAAGACTGAAGAAACAAAGCAGTGAGGAAGTAACCAACATAATTCTTATAAGAAGAGGTAAGACTGAACCAGTGAAACTTTATTTCCTACCAATTTGTCAGACTACCTTGGCAGTTAGACTCTGTGTGGGACATTGTTTCTTTGCTAGTAGGTCACACGGCCTTTATTAATAACTGTTTATATTCTGGGGACTAATAATCAGATTGAAGATGCAGGTTATGTGGGTTCAGCTCTCTGGTTGAAAAGGAGAAGACCTGCAGCTGATAGGTACTCTGCAGTACTGAGTACATGGGATGTTGTAGTCTCTATTATGTTGGTGCAAATCAAATTAAATAATAAGAATTTCTTTCATTTTGTGCAATATCAAAACTAAAAGTGAGATCCAAAGTTGAAAGATACCTGTATGGAGATGCCTCTTCTGACCTAAGTACAGAATATCTACCTGAACACAGCTCTGTGTTAACACATGTATGATGCTGTGCACCTCTGATAAACTGTTTTAACATATCTCAAGATCATCCTGATTTTAAGTTGTTGGTATAGCTTAAAGTAACTAAAACCAGAACATTCATGTGTGTTTAGAATAAGTAACTAAAGCCAGACATCTATGTGTGTTTAGAATAACACTCAGAAACAGAAAACGTGAATAACCTCCTGCCATGGAGCTGCTCATGGGAATAGGGGTTTTGGTTGACTCCTGTGGTGATTTACTCTTTAGGGACTTCACAAACAGAGAACATTTCCAAGCTAGTCCACCAAGCTTTCATCACAGAATTCTTGGAAAAATAATAGATAGTGGGAATTTGAGCTTCTGTTAATCATTGTTTATTGTCATATCACAGTCAGGTTTTCAAAGAGGGACTTCTCCTTTCTGCTGTAATTGTACACACAGAACAGAGACTCCTTACTATGCTTTTACAATTAAAATTAACAAATATACAAAATGAGCATAACAATGGAACAGTATAGAAAAGTGTGAAGTAACAGTAATAGAATGGTATAGTTAATATATGTAGAATCGGGTATCTTCAAGGTTTCTAAATACAAAGCTGCAGCTTTGGTTGCAAGAAGAGAGGAAAAATGATTTCAGCCTCAAAACTGCCATTTTAAATATGCATATTTTTGCTTTTGACAGCATGTCTTCAAATACTTGTAAGCTGTCAACTGGTAACTATTGTTGTCTAACTGTATCTTAAGAGTGAGAAGACACATCAAAAGAAAATTAAAGCTATGATAGAAATCAGTGCAAATCAGAAAAGTTCCACATAAGGATGAAATCTAGCATTTGTGACAAGCACCAAGACACAATGGGGACACAGGAAGAAAGACATTAAGGGAGTTGGGTTTAGAGTATGAAAGCAAGACACAATATGTCACCGTTGTCTTTCTATGACAGTTTTCATATTTTTTATATGAAGCAGGTTGTTTAAATAAGTTTGAGTTTAGTCTGAGAGAGGTTTTTGTAGGACTTCATTATGCAGCACATTAAAAATAACCTGTCAGTACTGGACAGCCAACAAACTGAACATCCATTCACAGAATTGTTAACTAAATTCTGGTCACGGGCTCAACTAATATTTCCATATATGCATCTCAATGAGCAGCAGTGGATAGAATTAAAAGGATGAGAATTATGTCACAGTTTGATATGTATAGGTACGAAAGAGAGTTTGTTTTTATAATTGTTAAGGAAAGGAAACAATTAGACTTGCTTTCAAATGCAATACTGTAATTGTAAGAATTTTTTTTTTGTATGCTAAACAAAACTGACACTCTGAAAAGTATTTTTCAAAATAAACAAAACCTCATTAATTTTTTAATTTCAGTTTCAGAATATAATTCTCACAAACATAAGGACTAGGTTCTGAATACAACCCACAAAAAATTAAAACACATATGGGAGCCACTAAACCCTCATCTATAAATGGACAAGTACCAAATCTTACTTTCTATAGAAAGACAGGTGTCCTGGGTTGAGTGGCTCCCCCCCGCCCCGGGGTCTCCAAACCACCTCAACAGGATTTGCTAATACATAAATGCATAGTGATAGTTTAATAGGTTCAACCTTGAACTCTTTGAAATGTGATTTCTTTGAGTATGGAAAACAACAACAGGTATGATCATGGATTATGATCCTGTGGCCAAGTTTTACCTTCACCATAGTGACAAATCAAAGGACTTTTTCCCTTACCCAAAAGGGGGTCCAAACCAGTCATGGGCCTCCCAGCAGAGCCTTATGAGAGTTGGGAGAACTAATGACCTCCTTCAAGCTCTCTCCAGTGCAGCCCCGTGTGCAGCTGCCTCCCTCACTGCCAGAGTCTGCAGCTGAGCCATGCTCAGTGTGTTGTCCACCCACCACCTTTTCAGCAGGGCTGTTACCTGACCAAAGTAGGACAAGTAGGATTAGGTATTGAACAGCATCAGCTTGTCAAGGCTGGTCAGAATATCAATACCAGAAGTGGCCAATGCATCAGGCTGGAAGGGTCAGCTTCCAGCACCACCACCTGTGTGTACACAGAGGTTGGCATTAAAAACCTGACAGAGTTTGAGAAGCATTTGGACAATGTTCTTAGGCACATGGTGTGACTCTTGGGGTTGTCCTGTGCAGGGCTAAGTTGGACTCGATGATCCTTGTGGGTCGCTTCCAACTCAGCATATTCTGTGATTCTATGAACCTGTCACCCTGACGCTGACGTATTCTCATCAGGCTCAGTCCTGTCCCAGAGCAAAGATGCCATTGGCAAACAGAAAGAGCAATAGCATCTGCCCAGTGTCACTGAAGGGGTGCCTCACAGTAAGCCTTCCAACTTTTCCATTAAGCAGGACTTAGAAAATGCCCATTTACAAAAGGATGGAGAGATGCTTTACCAGTATGTCCGCACAGGACCAACCTCTCCACAGCCAGGGACAGTGCCTGAATGAAGGTAAGAAAAATTAGACACCTGCACCCTCTGCTGAAAATTAAATGAACAGGCAAGCAAAGACTAAGATACACACACACACACACATTCATGATCCCCACCCCCCTCCGAAGAAGTGTTAATCTGCCTGGTCATTAGCTGCTTTTTGAAAGACAGTAAGCTTTACTGTGTCTAGGAAAACAATAAGAATATTCAGAGATCACCTGTTCTGTAGTCAAACTGTGCATAGGGATACCAAGTAGATCCTGAATGGCTGCTTAAGTTCACTGCCATTTCAACAGGATAATTTTTTAGACCTACTACTGTCGGTCTTCACATAACTAGAAGGCTAAAATATTTACAAGGCTTATCTAAGCCTCTTGATTTACCTCTCAATTTATGTCCTTTCATTATACTTGTACTGGAAAATCATATTCTCTTGTAATTTTTTTTTTTAATAAAGACTACCTTTCCCAAACTGTAAGCCATTACTCTTGAAGTCTCACAACCAATTGTCAAAATCCTACATTTTCTTTACTGAATGTGAAGAAAATATAATCTTCTATAGTATATCACAGCTAATTCTATTCTGCAGAGCTTAAATGAGAATTTTAATTTTCTTCTCTCAAATACATTTTTTAACTGTTCTTAAAATTCTGCCTATATTGAATTAAACAACTTTAAATGATCTAAGAAATTCCTCTATTAAGTTGCAGGTAGGACTCAAGAAAAATACTTCTCTGATTTTATTGTGAATTTCTGCAGGAGAAAGCAGGGGTAGGAGGTACTTATGAAAATCCTGAAATGCCTCTAAAATCAGTTGTGTGCTCTCAAAATTGTGTTAGCCTGGACGAGTTACTGAGGAGGTAATAACTACTGAAATAGGACAAATCCCCTGTGATTTGGTGTGTAAATACACAGCAGAACTGGACATGAAAAAAATTGAATTTTGGAAAGCACAGAGATAGAATATGAGCAGTTACAGAAAAAAGTGCAAAGTGACTCTTTTTCTTTTTGTATAGGGACAGTGACAGACTCAGCTTCACTGAAGTGATGTCTTTTAGTGTGATCTTGATCCACCTCTTATTCTTCACAAAAAGGTTGGATTTTCTGATATAAAAATGCCAATTAAGGAAGAAAATTTAAAATATCAATTATTTATTGCATTTATTGGATATTTATCAATTATCTAAACATCTTTTGTAAATTTCTAAGTCAACTAGGACTGTAGCAACAGACTTGACAGTTACTATAGCATCAGCAATTATTTTTCTTTTTAAAGACTTGTTTTTAACAAGAATATGTTTGCTAACTCCTTAAAAAAACCCAAACCAAAACAAAACCAAAAAGAGACTATTTAAAATGTGGTCATATTTTAGGGATCTGGCTTTTATTGTTACTCTATCCCACTATATACTACGTCTATTAAAAAAGACATTAAATGATTTTGTGTTTATATTTATTGTCAGCAATACATCAGTTATGTAAAAATAACCCAGATGAAAATGTAAGACTTGTTACATTTTCACATCATCTGTATTAACTGAATAAAGCTTAGTGACAATATACACAAATTTGCAGTAGTAGTTGTACGTAAACATTTTGTGCATTAAAAAAGAAATGTACATAATTTAAAAAATAAAAATGCATTACACAATTTACAAATTAACATTAACAAAAAAAAAGGTAAACATTCCTCAGACAGCTGCCTCCTTGTTCTACAAAATAAATATTCAAGTAAATTAAATTAGGCAAAATAAACTCTTAACTTTGGGTGAGTACAATTTACATAAAGGTAAAAAGACAGATTTCCATTTAATTCAAGGTATATTTTACAGTGATTTACACATAGAATTTTAAAGTTGGTCTCTTCAAATTGTAATATTGGAAAAAAAAACTTTATTACATTTTGACAGGAGGAAGGGGGTTTCAAAATTGATACTTTATACCAAATATAAACAAGCTTGTGCAGTTGCATCAAAGCTTCAAAAAGGAACTGCTCCAGGACTCAAAGCAGACACAGTAATCTAGAAACTACAGTTTTAAAAAGGAAAATACAAACCACCACATCAACAGGGAAATGTCTACTTTGCTATTTTCTGAATGGTTTATTTGATCACTGGAAACATTACTTTCACAAACTAATAATCTACAGTAGTGGCTGCTTTAGGCACTGGATTTGTAGAAGCACTCTGATTTTTAAAGCAAATTGCTTTTCATTCTATACTGATAATTCACCTATTATTTATTTCTGTTTCAATGCTAGAGGGCTTAATCACCTTAGCAACTTTTAGCTTTACATACAATTTCTGCCCTCCTTACAGCCTAATATTTTTTTCTTGATAATGAGGGAAGCCATTCTGGCTTCAAATCTCCATGCACTTTGTTCATAGAAAAAATAATAATAAAAATGCACTCTAGATTTTAAATGCAGCACTAGTATGATGCAGATGCGCACCAGATATTCACTGATCAGATACAAAATGTAACGCATACTAAAATACTCACATGGATTGCAAAGGCCAAACATACTTAAAAAACCCTCCTATCTCTTTCTTTGTTTGTCCATTTTATATGGTAAGAAAAAGGAGATGTCATACCTTTAATTTCAAGTTTTTAAATGCTTAGATTTAGGACATAAAACTCTTCAAGGCAAGAACTAGGCAACAGCTCCTGCTAAGACCAGCCTGTATAATAAATAAAGATGACTCATTGTCAATGAAAGAAACCCTGTTCCCTCAATGCCCTGTTGGTCCAAAACAATTTGATGACACAGAATCAGACTTTTAAAAGTACAGAAAACATTATTAAACTTTATTTCTCCACATGTAGTTATCGTTCTTTAAAACTTCATAACTTTTCCATGTATGTCTGACAACAGAGGAATCAACCAGGTTTTTCTTGTTTTCTACTTAAGAACGCCAAGGTAATTAAAATCATCAAGATTTGTATTTTTCCTATGGATCTTTACAAAGTGATGTAAGAGTGAAGCCCCCAGTCCTGAAATACCTATATGAGTGAACCACTGCTGTGGCAGGGGGCCATGGAACTTCATCCTCTGTGCCTGGATCAAGGTATAAAATGAGAAATTAAACCTGTAACAACGATTGTTACTATTGTTCCTCTGCTCATCCTTCCCATTTGGGGAATACTTACATAGTGGGAGGGAGGTAATTTTCTTGATTCAGTAATGCCACACTGGTAATACGTTAGCTAAGTTAAAGTAGGACCATAATCTCTCTTGAACATCCACAAAATGCTCGTTGGTTCCAGAAATTATTCTACATGAAAAAAAAGTGTGTATTTTTAAGGACTGATGTTACCTATTGATGTCCATGAGAATCTTGCCATTGATTTCTGTTGATCTGAGCCAAAGTTTGCAAAGCTACAGTTTTATTCAGTGTGCAAAACCCAGTGCTTCTTGAGTAAATAGCATGATAAGTAGGCAGAAGTGGTTTAGGTTATAAAAAAGACCTGAGAACCTAATATTGAACTTTATATAAGAATTATTTTTGAGAGGTTGCCTGATAGAGTTTTCTATTGCTTACTAGTGGCACAGTCACTTGTATGTTCAGGCTACACATAGAAGCCATTTGAGGAGAATAACCCTTCTCAGGTCATGGATCACATCCGTAAGAGGCATGTAGATACAAGTCAATGACCTTCATGTTGGAAGCAGTAACACTGAAAAGCCATAAGCATGGAAGAAGTTAACAGTCAGTTTTCATACTGCCAGATTTTTTTTTAAATTCATAAGTATTAAAATGGCAGAACTATTGATCTTATTGTTTACTTGCCAGTACACTCAAGAATTTAACTAATTAAAAGAGTCTATCCAATTATCCTAATTAGAAAAGATGAAAGGGCTCTGAGTATTTCACTGTCAGCAACAGTGAAAAAGCTTTCACTAGCAAAAGGAAAGAAAAGCAAAACCATTTTATTTCAGTTGAACAATCAGAACAGCTTTTTAGACAAGAAGTATGTCACTCAGGATTACAGGGCAACCACTTTTCTTTTTCTTTTCTTCTTTTTCTAGCAAAGTTAACAAATATAAAAAATCTAGTCATAAACAGCCTTCAAAGTACAATTAGAAACCAGCAGGACAATCTATACCAGTATAGGTAGATGGGGCAAGAAACTAGACACTTGTATTACTGCCATGATGTAGACTACAAATGGCTGCTGTGATGAGGAACGGTGTGTACAGTACACGTCGTTAGCCAATTCCATCCAGTCACAGTCCAAACCGAACACTACTCTCTTCAGGATTCAAGACCTGTCTACTTGACACTCCTTGCACAAGATACATCATTATCCTTTCTGAAAAGAGGCAGTTTCTATGGCAATACTAGTTAAGTGCATATCATGCTGCACTAATATAGTGCAAAAATTTGCCTTACATGTAGCAAAAAAGATGCAGGCAACAGTTTGAGTTAGAGAAAGTAGAAACGTATTGTAACATTTACAACAGGTATTCTTTTTCCAGACAGCAACCACTAGAAAATATTAAATCTGAGAATGCCTCCTTTCTGGATGTACACATGAGGCCTTTATACTTTGGAGTGGTAACAGGACAGAATTTTGCAAGTGAGTCATTGCCCTCTGAAATGCAGGTTAACACAAGTTATCATCAACTGGCAAACTCTTGAGCTTGCTCAGTGGGTTGATCCCAGTTAAAAGTTAATACTGTACTAAGCACTAAAATGCTCTTTAACAAGTATATAATCAGATAGAGTAATACATATGGTTCAACTGAGTATATATGTTATGCTTGAATATAAAGAGTCATAGACAGCTTGGTACAAACTCTTCATGCGTACTGATTATACTTGGTTAATGATGCAAGGGCTTCCAACTTTCAATACTATGCCAGCTACAGTCTTCTGGAGACAGAAGTGGTGCTTATAGTTTCTGAGATTGAGGAAACACCAGAGATCTCCAACTGCAGTGTCTATTAACTTGATTCTGCCACATTTCTCAGTGCTGATGGTCTAAAGTAAAGCAATAATACCTTGAATATCCAT